GGGGGAGGGGGGGGGGGGGGGGGGGCGCGGCGCCCGGGGGGGGGGGGGGTCAAAGATCAGCAGGCCTTTGTCTGGTGCTGGGAATGCCAGTCTCCTGACTCCTCGCTGCCAGCCAGAGAATGGCACTCCAGAGCTGTGCCCCAGCCTCCCTTTCTGCAACTTCTGGGGCCTGCAGTGACATAAACTGCAGAGAGCAAAGGTCAAGAGTTTGCCATGCCCTGGGAGGAGAAATGGGCCCTTGGGTCCTGAGAGGTGTGGGGCTCTAGTGCTCTATGGTCAGCTCTGTAACAGGACCTGAGTCACTCTCACCTGAGATCCCTCTGCATCCCACTTTCCTGGGACTAGATCCATTCTGGGCCCCAAGAAATTGCAGTCACAGATGCTGCAGGAGCAGGGTCCCTGACTGGCAGGTGTTCCTGCTCAGAGGGTGGCACTGCTGGGCGCAGAGTCTCAGCCAGTGGATGGAGCTAGAGAGTGGTTACCTATGGTTCCTGTGCGATCTGGGTGTATCTGAATGTGAGTGGCTATCAGCCAGCCCCTGTGTGCTTGTAAAAGCAAATTTATCAAGCCTGCTCTACCATGCCCTTCCCCAGAGGCGAGTGCTTAGCAAGCCACATTTGTTATCATGGGACTCTCCCCTGATTCAGGTTCTTCCTAAGAGGAAACCTGCAGACCTGACATATACCCAGGCATCAAGGACTAATACTTCTAGATATACCTGTATTCTGAAAGGAGGGTGTTTTTGTTTTAATTCTTCATAACAAATATCTAAACGTTTTTTAAAGTTACAGAACAGAATAACACTAATCTTTTAAAGAAAATGAACAGCTCAGAAGGATAAACAGATGAAAAGTGACAGTTTCTCTGAAGCACCTCGCCCAGCCCCCAACAGCTTCTGTTTTTAGTTCTCCTGTGATCACTATTATCCCATTACATAATCTTTTTTAAATTTGTCAGTTGGACAGTATCTCTTGCCTTCTCAATATGAGGGATGAGAAATTAACTCTCACGCTAACTCCCTTATCCCTTTACTTTCCACATTTCAATTTTTGTTTATATACTTGTTTTTAGGTCTTATAGTGATGGCCTTTATGACTTTGAGTTTCTGTTTCCAATGTAATGACTTCAACCATCATACGCTGACTCCTAAAAGAGAGCTTTAGGGCCGGCCCGTGGCTCACTCAGGAGAGTGTGGTGCTGATAACACCAAGGCCATGGGTTCGGATCCCTATATAGGGATGGCCGGTTTGCTCACTGGGTGAGCGTAGTGCTGACAACACCAAGTCAAGGGTTAAGATCCCCTTACCGGTCATTCTTTTTTTTAAAAAAAAAAAAAGAGAGAGCTTTAGAAAAAGGCCAATGGATGAGTCTTTAATGATGGAATTTTAGGCCCTAAGTTAACAAGGTGGGAAGGTGTTTGGAGGCTGGAGGCCAAGATGGTAGCCTGGAAAAGCCCAGGCTTTGGAAGAAGGCTGACAGATCTGAGGCCAAACTCAGCTTTGCCCTGCATTGGTGTTATGAACGTGGCTAAGTTTCACAACCTCTTTCAGTCTGTTTTCTCATCTATAAAATGGGGTTTGTATTAGTCCTTTCTGTGTTGCTATAACAGAATACCTGAGACTGGGTGATTTATAAAGACAAATGAAATTTATTGCTTATCGTTTCTGAGGTTGGGAAATCCAAAGTCCATCTGGTGGTGGTGACAGTGACTCAGGAGACTCACATTGCAAGATGGTGGAAGCAGAGAGAGCAGAGAGAGAGACCGACTCTCCTCTTCTCTTAAAACCCTCAGAACCACACCCCTGACCACCATTTTTAATCCACTCACTACTGCACGGTCTACAACCCAATCACCTCTTCAAGGCCCCACCTCTCAATTACCATAATAGGATTTCCCACACTCTTAACAGTCACAGTGGGGGCTAAGTTTCTAATACATAAAACTTGGGGGACACAATTCAAGTTTCAGTGAGTTTTGGGGGGACATAATTTGATCTACTACAGTGTTGTTGGGATGCTTAAATGGGGTGAGGTATGTAAACATTTAGCATGGTGTCCAAAACAGAGTCCCTTCTCAGGTGACATTCATTCCCTTTCTTTACCTTCCCATTCTCCCTGCTCTCCTCCTGGGGCTCTGGTCACCAAAGGCTGGCCCTCGGCTCTCATTACAGTGGCTCCCTTCCCGGCCCTCTTTGGAAGAGGGTGAGATGAACAGGGGTAGGGAGACCTCTAAGATGCAGCCTTACAGCCTGTCACTTTGACACTCTGTGACCAGCAGGCATTCTTATGACAATTCCCTCCCTCTTCTATTTCCTATCTTCCAAAGGGCTTAGAGCCCTTTCAGGAAAAGGAATCAGATCAAAAGTGTCACTTGTATATTGACAAAAAAAAAAAATGTGTCACTGGCTTCTACTCATTCATTAACTCACTCCTTTAAGAAAGAGTGGCTCCTCTAGTAGGCCAGGCATTATACTCAGTACTGGGGATTGGTGCTCCAAAAGAGACCCAGTTCCTGCCTTCATGGAACTTATAGTCTAGTGTGAAGATAAACAAACATTAACCGACTAATCAAATAAACGTAAAACTGCAACTTCATTTAGTGATTTGAAAAAAAGTTAGGAGGTGCTATAAGAATGCCTAGTGAAGATACAACCTAGAGAGTGGTAACATTTGAACTGAGTTCTCAAGGATTAGTAGAACTAACACATTAGTAGAGGCACAGAGGCCAGCAAGAATAGGCCTGGCAGAGGCCGGCACGTGGCTCACTCGGGAGAGTGCGGTGCTGATAACACCAAGGCCACAGGTTCAGATCCCATACAAGGATGGCCGGTTAGCTCACTGGGTGAGCGTGGTGCTGACACCACCAAGTTAAGGGTTAAGATCCCCTTACCAGTCATCTTTAAGAAAAAAAAAAAAAAAAGAATAGGCCTGGCAGAAGGCAGACCATATAGGGCTGGCCCATGGCTCACTTGGGAGAGCGTGGTGCTGACAACACCAAGTCAAGGGTTAACATCCCCTTACTGGTCATCTTTAAAAAAAAAAAAAAAAGAAGGCAGAGCATATGCAAATGCTCTGTGGCAGAAGGGAGATGGTGAGCACAAGGGATTAGAGAGGGTCAGCAGGGCTGGAACAGAGGGAGGACAAAGGGAAAAGTGAGCCATGAGGCAGAAGGGGCGGAGGAGCCCACACAGGGTCCTATGAACTATAAGGAGTTTCATCTCCATCCTAAGGGCATTGGGAAGTCACTGAAGAATTTAAACAATGGCGGTTGGGCAGGTTGATGTATTCAGATTTAAATTCCCAAAAGATCACCTTGGCTGTTATATGGAAAGAGGATCAGAAGGTGCAGAAGGGCTTCAGACACCAGTTAGTAGGCCTTTGCTGTAGGGCTTGACTGGGGAGGTGGTGCTGTGAATGGAAAGAAGTAGACAGACTGGAGAACTATTTAGGGGGTAAATATTTAACAGAACTTGGTAATGGATTGAGGACATACAAATACACAAACTTCATGGATTTTTACACTGGGACAGACAGATTCATGCATGGAGCCTCTCTGAGCTTGTTTCCTCATCTGTAAACGGGGCTGGTGAGATTCTGCATGAGCATGCAGCATGAAAACTGTGAAGCTTGATGGCACACAAATGAGTTCTATTATTTATAATGTGAGGCTCCTTATTTATGTTCTTCCATCTCAGAATTGACCCATATCTCCTCATTGGCCTGTGTATGCCACCATTCATCAGTAAGTCTGCCCAAGATAAGGCAAACTCGAGCTAAAGACCAGAGATAAGATGGGAGGAAAAAGCCACCAGGACTGCATGACCACATCAAGGCAGGGAAACAAAGAGGGCACAGACCTGGGCAGAGGGGAATATGTCTGCCTTGTCCTCCTGGCCTGGCACAGGCAGACCCTAGCAGAACTAGGCTGTCTTAGTCTGTTTTCTGTTCCTACAATAAAATACCACAGACTGGGTAATTTATAAGAAAAGAAATTTATTTCTCATGTTCTGCAGGCTGGGAAGTCCAAGAGCATGGTGCCAGCATCAGGCGAGGGTCATCCCATGGCAGAATGGAGGATGTGAGCACATGAGAAAAAGAGCAAATGGGGGCTGAACTCATCCTTGTATCAGGAACCCACTCCCTCAATAACTAACCCACTCCTGTGATAACAGCACTAATTCCTTCATGAGGACAGATGCCTCATGACCTAATCACCTTGTAAAGGCCTCACCTTTTTATACCATCACGATGGGGATTAAGTTTCCAACATATGAATTTTGGGGGGACACATTCAAACAATAGCACAGGCTGTTCTTAAATGCCTTTTCTTTCCTTCTTTCATTAAAAATGTGTATCGTATAAAAGAAAAACATGTTTATTTTAGAAACTTTTCTAATTTTCTAAAACCTTAAAAATCCCACATAATGCCATCACCCAAAAACAACCACTACTAACATTCTGGCAAGTTTCCTTCTAGTCTTTCTTTTCTATGCATGTATATATTGAACATAGTTCAGAAAATGCTATACAGTTATTTCAAAAACTTTGAGGGCCGGTATAATGAATATGGAGGTTGTCATAGTGCGCTTCTCTCTTCATGATGGAAGCATCCCATGCTCACTAAAGGGAACTTGGAAAAAAAATTTTTTTTTTTTTAAAAAGATGACCAGTAAGGGGATCTTAACCCTTGGCTAAGTGAGTGAGCCACAGGCCAGCCCTGGGAACTTGGAAAATATCTTTAAAACTAGAAAGAAAATATTAGCTCGTAGTCCCGCCATTCAAATACCATCACTTTGGGTCCGGCCTATGGCTCACTCGGGAGAGTGTGGTGCTGACAACACCAAGGCTGCGGGTTCAGATCCCATATAGGGATGGCCGGTTTGCTCACTGGCTGAGCGTGGTGCTGACAACACCAAGTCAAGGGTTAAGATCCCCTTATCGGTCATCTTTAAAAAAACCAAAAAACAAACAAACAAAAAAAACAAATACCATCGCTTTCACCACTTTAATGGAATACCTTACAGTCTTTTCCCCCTGCATGTGTAGTTTTTCTTTTTAGTATGTAAGAAGCAGCATAAGGTAGTGTAAAAAGTGCGGTTTTTGATGTCAGAGAGATGGGATAAAATCCTAGGTCATGTACTTTTTTTTCAAGCAACATTTATCAAGCATTCATGGTGTCAAATGCTTTATGTGTATTAACTCATCTAATCCTCATAACAACTTTATGAAGCCCCACTTCGTATACAAAGAGACTAAGGCTCAGAGAGGCTAACTAACTTGCCTAGGGCCACTGTGATAGTAACTGGCAGATGCAAGAGTTAAACCTAGTATCTGAGTCTGAAGCCCACAAATTCCACCCCTATACAACTTTGTCTCCCACTCTTCACTGCAAGATCTCCATAGTTAGTGAACCTCTCTGCAAAATGGAAACAATTCTCAGAGTTGTTGAAAGCATTAGCAATCATGTATGTCAAGTGCCTGGAGGAACACAGTAGGTATCTCAAGGAAGGGTGCTGCTCACCACTCGAAAGCGAGTTTTTGTTTCAGGTAAGTTGAATTTGAGGTGAGGGTGGAACTTCCAGATGAAGACAGAATTGCTAATGCTACAAGCTGAGTGTTTATGTGTGGAAGCAGTGGGGCTGGCCTGCCTGGGTTCCAATCCCCACTCTGCCAGTGAACTACTGCCTTAGGACCTGACAAGTTAGTTCACCTGTCTCAGCCTGTCTGCTCATCTGAAACATGGGGATAAAAATAGTACCTACTCCTTTGGTTTGTTTTGAGTATGGGGTAATATGTGGTCTTTGTAATGGTGTGTACAATGGATGTAATGATAAACCTATGATAATGTAAGATTACCATAAGGTGATATTCCCCTGCATTAGGATTCTTGTATGTACAAGCTACTGGGGAAGGCAGGAATCAAATAAAGACAAAACCCTTTCTTCCCAGTAACTGCACAATCATTTGCTTCATTCCCAGCATACCATCATGGCCACCACCATGGAAAAACCCAGAAAACCCAGAGTGGTGGAGACAGACCCCAGATTCCCACCCCCAACAGCCATAATGTGGGCAGCTGGGGGATGCTGCAGTTCAGCAAGGAAAATGATCTGAGGATTGGCTACAGAACACACTAAGTAAAGCTGCTCTAGGTGAGAAATTGGGAAGAGTGTTCCCATTGGGTCGGGCTGTTGGGCCATCATGAAAAGGTGTGGAATCTCTTTTTTTGGAGTGCCTTAACAGGACTGATCTTGCTCTGTAGAGAACGGTCTTTTAAGAGTTCTTCACTCAGGAGCCGGCCTGGTGGTACACTGGAGAGTGCGCTGCTTGAGAGCGTGATCTTGCTCTGTAGAGAACGGTCTTTTAAGAGTTCTTCACTCAGGAGCCGGCCTGGTGGTGCACTGGAGAGTGCGCTGCTTGAGAGAGTGGTGGCTCTCCCACAGAGGGTTCGGATCCCATGTGGAGACCGGTTCCCGCTCACTGGCTGAGCGCAGTGCAGACACAACACCGAGGGTTGCGATCCCGTCTCCGGTCAGTAAAAAAGACAAAAAGGAAAAAAAAAAAAAAAGAGTTCTTCACTCAGGAAGAGCATGAGCTTGGCTTCCAGGAGCCCGCGGTTTTGTGAAGGGCAGTCACTCAGCTACCTCAGTGAGCTGGAACCTCTAAGCTTCCAAGAATGACAATTCAGTGGAAGAGAGTGGCCAGCTCTTGACCAGAAGCACCACTTTTGTGGGGAGAGAAGGCACCTGAGCTCCAGGAAATGTTAATACAAGATGAGGAAGGGCCTCCAACAAAAGGGAACACTACCGGTCAAACAGGGGAACCTGGACGCGGGGAAGCGCCTGCGCTTCTAAAGTTGGCAGAAGCAGGGCTTCCCGGAGCTGGCAAGGGCGGTGACACTGGAGCAGACATCTGGATTCCAGTCATCACAGGTGCAGCCATACCGCTGGGTTCTCTTCCCGCCACGAAATGGAAATGATTTCCCGAAGACTGGCAACCGACAGAGAGATCATTTGCACCAGGCTTTCCCACACGTCTCCCCCTCTTCACAAGCGCCTCAGGCCTGGGGCCGGGAATGCCGGCCCGACCGACAAGGGGCGGGAGGCAGCCGGCCCCCAGCGCCCGACCCCTGCGCGCCGGATTTCGCTGTAGCGTCCTGGCTGTTCCCGGCCTTTGGGGTTCGGGACGCCCTTCTGGTGCGGGGCCCCCTCACGAGGCTGGCCCCGGAGGAGCCCGCGCAGAGCAGCCTCGAAGGGACGTGGCACCACGCTCAGCCAGTGTCAGAGCGTCCCCAGGCCTCCGAG